AAGACCATAGCAAGATGTAGGACGATGCATCGACTCGACTTCGACTTTTACTGTCAACTAGTCGCAACTCATAAATGCCGTAGTACTATGATTAAAAAAGTCAGGTATTCGGGCAATGACCAGTTTAAGGTACATTCACGTTGCACACAAATGTGTTGACTGGATCAGGTGATTTCCATGTTAACCTAATGTAAATGTGAGTTCAGTACTGACTAACACTAACACTCACCGATGAGTTGGACAAGTTTCCATTGACACAGAAGGTGCATATTGGGTGTTAAGAATGAAGTGGCACAGTGATAACGGCAGTGGATGCATGAATATATTCAAGCAGCATGCAAGTAGGTGTGGAGGAGGCAAAATTTCATCTGTCAGTTTGTGTCTCATTATACTATCAGGGTATCAATTTACACCTTTAAAATTTATTTGAAAAGGATGAATGATGAATAGTTTCTATTTCTTATAGATTATGACTTCCCTTTTAACATAATCGCATCTTATACAAGACATCATGTTGACAGCAATAGTCAGGGTCTTTCTGAAACAAACAAAAATCATCTAAAAACAACAAAACTTAGTATATTGCCTTTTGTTTAAATCATCTTTGATTCATTCCATTTTGCTGCGGCTGAAATATGCGTTAGAGCAAAAGAGTTTCCGTATGAGTCAATTTTGGACTTGAAGCCTCTGCAGGTCTGAACCGGGGCTCCTGGATCGACGTCCTTACATGGTAAAAGACGCGCCGTTCTCACTGGATCCATCCACTGAGCGGCGGATTGTGGACATGTAGGTGTTGGAGTTGACTGTTGAGAAGCGGCGTGGAGTGATGTACCGCTTACCCACACACCACAGGTCACGGAAGATCCTCCTGAAGTGGTTCCTGAACTTCACCCCAATGAAGGCGTACAGAACCGGGTTCAGGCAGCAGTGCAGGTAGGCAAAGGTCTCCAGCACAGATTTCGCCATTAGCAAAGAGTCCACCTCATTACAACTGCTTTCTTTGAACATGCTGACAGTGTCATAGATGAGGGCGAGGTTGTAAGGCAGGTGGCAGACAATAAACACCAGAACCACAACCAGCACCACTCGGACTGCTTTGTGTCGCTGGAAATTTTTGGCTTTCTGCAGAGTAACGATGACAGTGGTGTAGCAGAAGATCATGATGATCAGAGGCAGGAAGAAGCCAATGGCAAGCTGGGTGCCGGGAACAGCCACCTTCACCATCTTTGCTACCTTACTCTCCTCAAATTTCCACTCACAGACGTACTGTGGAGCTACTGAAGTGTTATCCTCTTTTATTCCACTGACCCATATGACGTCGTGGTGTGATGGCTCATACCAGTGGTAGAAATAGAAAGTGGGAACAGACACCAGTAAAGCAAAGACCCAGATCAGGGCACAGATAACATAGCCGTGCGTCAGCGAGCGTAGCCTGAAGCTGCGGCGAGCCTGGACGATGGCGATGTAGCGGTCCACGCTGATGCAGGCCAGCATCAGCATGCCGCTGTACAGGTTGACGCTGTAGGAACCACGCAGCAGCTTACAGGCCACCTGCCCCATCGGCCAATGGTACAGCTCATTGTAGACGATGAACGGTAGAGCCATCACGAACAGAAGGTCAGCGATGGCGACATTGAGCAGGAAGACATCGGTCATAGACCTGCTTCTCTTGTAGAGGGCATAGGTGAGGATGACCAGGCTGTTCCCCACAAAGCCCAGGATGCAGATGATGGAGTGAATGTAAGGACCAACCACACTGTTCACACTGTTGCTCGCATTGTAGTCACACGGTTGATCAAAGTCACCATTGTAGTATTCATCATAGTCGCCCGCGTCGTAGTAGACATAGCTGGAGAACTCCATCTTGTTTCACTGTCAAAGGAAAAGTTAAATATTAAATTAAGACAATAAAAGCAAATTCTAAACAAAATGCAAGAAGGTCATGAAAGACAGCAGGTGGTGATGTTGTCAACATTAGTAACTTGAGGTGTTTTTAAGTCCAGTCCATTTTTTCAGGCTCCTGATATAGATTTTTCTCTGTTAGTATCATTAATTTAAAAATCAATGTATATGTATAATAATAATGCAAAGAGTTTTATCTGGGAAATACTTTGTTCTTCTCAGGAACTTCAATAACTACGTATATGTTTGCAATGACTGTGTGACATAGAGGGGTGATTCAAAAGAGTCTTCCTGTTTTCAATATGATCTTGTGGTGT